CTGCAACCATCACCACGGTTGAGTTTAGAACATTTTCATCACCCCCAAAAGAAGCCCTATTTACTTTAGCTATCATCCCCCTACCTCTCATCTCCCTAGGTCCCTCACCCACCTGCACCCCCACCCCCGCCCGCCTCATTATACCCATTGCCGTGGAGTCATAGTGATCTCATAGGACAGAGTAGAACTGCCCCAATATGTTTCCAAGGAGCACCTGGTGAATTCGATCTGTTGGCCTTTTGGTTAGCAGCTGAGCTCTTAACCACTGTGCCACCAGGGCTCCCCACCTCCACCTGCCCTAGGCAACTACTAATCTTTCTCTGTAGATTTCCCTGTTTTGGATATTTCATATGAATGGAGTCATAACACACAGGTCTTTTGTGACTGACTTCTTTCACTTAGCATAATGTTTTCAAGGTCCTTCAGGTAGCATGTATCATACTTCATCAGAACCTCCATTTTAAAATTTGAACAAATAATAATAATAATCACTTTCAGTGTTTTACATATGTTAACTATGTTAACTAATTTAATCCCCTGGGGTAGGTTGCAGTGGTTAAGAGCTCCACTGCTAACCAAAAAGTTGCAGTTCGAATCCACCAGCTGTTGCTTGGAAACCCTATGGGGCAGTTCTATCTACTCTGTCCTGTAGGGTCGCTATGAGTCAGAATCCACTCCATGGCGACGGGTTTTTTTTTTTTTTTGGTATACATAGGGAGATTGAGGCACAGAGAGGTTAAGTAATGTGCCCAAGATCACACAGTAAATAACAGCCAAGATTCTAACTCAGGCAAATTGACTCTAGCGCCCATGCTCTTACCTACTATGCCCTCGCTATTCAAACTGTAGTCTATGGACCTGCAGCATCAGCATCCCCTGGGAGCTTGTTAGAAATGCAGAATCTCAGGCCCCATCCTGAACCTACTGAGTCAGGCTGCATTTTAACAAGCTCCCCTTGTGATTTGTGTGCACATTAAAGTTTGAGAAGTTCTAGTCTATTTATATTCCCTCTGTCACTTAAGAGCATTGTGGGAGATAAAGGAAATAAGTATGTTTTGTAAACTGTAAAGTGTAGTGCATTCAGGGCACTGAATTGTAGGCAGAAATAGGCAGGGCTGGGGGTGCCCAGGTGCCTGTCCCTCAGTGGCTGGATGTCTTCTCCAAGCTGTCTCTGAGCCCAGCTCTGTCTACCTCTGGTGTGAGTCTTGGTTGTATATTTCTCACTGGGGTGTGGCTCCAGGGTCCGATTGGTTGTGGGGAAGCGTTCTCATGCAGGCATGGTCCCTGGGGAGGGCACTGCCCCCGGTCTGCAAGGCCCAGGAAGCCTGGGACCCAGGCCTGGCTCTGCCTCTGACTCTGGGTGATGTGGACGGACTCCTGGCCCTGGCAGCCTCAGTGTCCCCAGCATAGGCAATGTGACAGCATCCTCTGAAGCCTGCAGTGCTGACCTGGAGGCCTGGGTCTGCTGGTACCATGGCCTGTCACTGCCATCTCTCCTCCAGTTCCCTGGCAGGGGGCTGCCCTGCTGGCTGTAGGAGCTGGTGATGGAGGAGGCGGTGCGTGAGTCAGAACTCAGACACATAATTGTGGTGCCCCAGATCCCGCCTCCAGCCTACTGGCCCTCCCTCGGCGGCTGCTTTAGAGGAACAGCTGCTTTGGCGGCTACCTCCAGAGAAGCAGGTCGCTGGGCAGCATGAAAGGGCCTCTACCCCCCAGGAGCCAGGTACAGCCCCAGGTTTAGCTCCAGGGTGGCTGGGCCTTGGACCACTTCCCATGGGTCCTGGAGGGGAGCAAGAGTGATTCAGAGAGCAGGTTGAACTGGGTTTGGGTTTGGGGCTGGTTTGTGGGCAGCTTGTGTGGACTTGGGGATTGCGCGTGCTGGGGCTCATGGCCAGGATTGGCTCCCAGGTGTCTACTTGGCTCACCTACCAGCTAAGGGGCTCCCCCAGGGCAGGACTAGGTGCAACCCATCCCTGGGCTCCACACCCAGCACACGGTGGGCATACAGCAGGTGCTCACTAAGGGTCTGGTGGGTGCATAGAAGGCAGGGTGGACTGACGACTGATGTGACTGGATTTGTCCCCTTGTCCCCTCAGCTCTCCCAGTGAAGTGACGTCACTGCCTCTGTGGACAGGACACCCCTGGGAGCCCAGCTCACAGCCACTGGTATCTTCTTCCAGGTAAAGAAAAAAGGAAAAAAGGAGAGAGGGAGAAAGGAGTTAGAGACAGACTGCAGAGAGCCGCCCATTGGGTTCTAAAACAATGCCAGCCTCTCCCATGGGGACAGCACTCTACAGTTAGTGAAAAAATGCAGGGGAACAGGGATTGTTATCCCATTTTATGGACAAAAAAAAAAAAACAACCCTGAGGCTCTGAGTAGAGCTTCTCTTGCTTAGCAGTGTGTCCGATACTTATCTAAGCACCTTATGTGTATGAGCTCATTTAATCCTCATAGCAGGCGAAGTGGTGCTGTTATTCCCACTTTATAGATGAGGAAACTGAGGGATAGAGGCATTAAGAAACCTTCTCAGTTAAGTAAGTGGAGGCAGAGGTGAGTTTCTAACCCAGGCAGGCTAACTCTCAGTGCACACTATTAACCACTGTGATTTACACCGTCTTAGTTTTTGTTAGTGGCTGTTGAGTTGTTTCCGACTCATAGCGATCCTATATGCACAACGGAACGGAACACTGGTCCTGCGCCATCCTCACAGTTGTTGCTATGTTTGAGCCCATTGTTGTAGCCACTGTGTCAATGCGTCTCGTCGAGGGTATTCCTCTTTTTGCTGACCCTCTACCAAGCATGATGTCCTTCTCCAGGGACTGGTCCCTCTTGATAACATGTCCAGAGTACGTGAGATGAAGTCTCACCGTCCTCATTTCCAAGGAGCACTCTGGCCGTACTTCTTCCAAGACAGACTTGTTTGTTCTTCTGGCGGGCCGTGGCGTATTCAATGTTCTTCACCAACACCATAATTCAAATACATCAGTTCTTTTTTGATCTTTCTTAGTCATTGTCCAGCTTTCACATGCATATGAGCCAAGTATTAAACTAAGTTTTCTCGATTTCCAAGGGGGTGATTAGTATTTTAAGAGAAAAGCCTAGAGAAGGTGATATTTCAGCTAAAGGAATACATGACAAATGGTGGAATTGGAGGCCTTTGAATCATGGAATTGGCATGAACCTTCTAGGTGTGCTGGGCCAGCCAACTTCTGGAGCACAACTTTCTTCCTCAGCATTCAACCAAGGCGGTTTTCTCTGGTCCCTAAAGGGGAGCCTGGAAATCTGAAAAAGAGGAAGAAAAGTTCAGGCCCCAGGTTCCCAGGCTTGCTGGGGAGCAGAGGGACTGCTGTCTGTACAACACCACGAAGAGAGAATGTAAATGATGGTGATGAAATCGGTATTCTGTGCTAAAGCTGAGGTCATCTCACACTAGTTCTGGTATGGAAAAGTGCCAACAGACACGGAGGTGTAAGACAAATTTATGGGAAGCTTTTTTTTCAGTAACTTAATTTTTTCTGTAAATTGGGAAAAGGGTAATATTCAACTTGAGTGGCAAAACCGAGCCAGGCTCAGAAGTAACGATGCTGTTGTGTGGTTTAAGATGCTGTGATTGGTTTCTTCTTTCCTTCCTTCCTGCACTTAGTCAGCTTTAAAAACAAGCAAACAACAACAACAACAAAAAATTAAACCAGTTGTCATACAGTTGATTCTGACTATGGCAACCCCGTGACCAGCTTTACCAAAACAAACCAGTTGCCATCGAGTCAATTCTGACTCATGGCAACTCCATGTGTGTCAAGGTAGAACTGTGTTCCATAGGATTTTCAGTGGCTGATTTTTCAAAGGTGGATCACCAGGCCTTTCTTCCAAGGTGCCCCTGGGTGGGGTCGAGCCACCCACATTTTGGTTAGTAGAGCACTTAACCCTTTGCACCCCCCAGGAACTCTGACTGACAAATAAATGAGTACTTCCTTGGTGCCAGGCCCAGTATGAGGAACACAGGGCTGTATCTTTCGGTCCCCTACACAGTGACTACTTGAGTAGGGACAGGATCTGGGGCATCTCTTGTCCCCATCACCCACTGCAGGGCCACAGATGCTGTGGGTCTCTGGTAAAACTGGGCTAGGTAAATCAGAAGTCTCAACCTGGGGCTGCTCACTGTCTAGGGGCAGGCAGCCACGGAAGCAGATAATTACGGTGCACAGAGGCCTGTGATCACGTCTGAGAGTTCTGCCAGATGATGTGAGCACAAAGGGAGGAGGCTTCTAAGGGAGAATCAGACCAAGCTTGCACAGGGTGCATTTGTTAAGATAGACAGGATTTGGATGGGTGGGTGGGGGTGGATGGGCTTTCCTGGCAGAAGGCCCTAAATGAGCAAAGGCAGGGAGGTGGGAAAGCTGAGTAGGGTGGTGTGCTTGGAGCAGGCAGATGTGAGGCTAGAGAGGTAGGTGTAAGGGGAAGGAAGAAAGAGACGATTCCTTAAATGGTAGGACTTGTTTCTCTTCCCATCCCCAGGGCCTGCTGGGGAAGCCTGTTTGTATAATAACTCCGCTATTTTACATAAATAAATAAAATAAATCATCAGTCCCCATTCCCTCAGGGGGTAAAAACTGGGCCGAGACAAGTTTGCTCAGCACAAGTCTCTGCCAGACTCAGTTTCCTCCTCCTCCTGCTCTTCCTCCTTGGGCTCCTCCTTCTCCTTCCACGTGGGAGGCCCCCCTTCCCTGGGACCTAGGGAGAGGCATTGGAAAAAGCCACTCTGGTCCCTGGTGACTGAATCACTGGGGTCCTAGGACGGGAACATTATGTCAACTGAGGGTAAGAGTCTCTTCCCCTCACCAGGCCCCCATGCCAGCCCTTCAGGTACAGCCAGAGGCCTTCGGGGTATCTGCTTTCTGCTCCTGGGAGAACCCATCCGGGCCAGGGGGGGAGGTGGGTGAGGGCAGGGGGTGCGCAGTTCCTCTCAGGATGTCCTTCCTGCAGTCCTGGCTGCTTAAAGGGCCCTGGAGTTAAGGAGGGAGGGCCTGGTCACTGGGAGTATACAAGCCTGTGCAAGAGGCTCAGCTGGGGAACAGTAAGAGGCTATGCAAGCGAATGCCTGAGTGGAAAGGGAGGCTGGATGGAATATCTCCAGGTCTTTCCAGGTGCTGACATTTTATGACCTCAGTAGTCTGAAATCTAGGGATTAGATAGTTCTAAGACCCTAGTTGTGTTGTTCCGGGCTTCCATGATTGCATGAGTCTTGGGTGAGGTGATTTTCTGAGACTCTGGTTTAAGGAGGTTACAGCCTGAGATTTTGAGTTGTGAGATGCTAAGCTCTGCTGTCTTGGTGACTACTCAGCCCAAGCTGGTGGCCCTGACCTGGGAAGGAGATGTTCTTTCTGTGCCAAGAGAACCCATCCCCTGGGCAGGGCCCTGAGCCTGGCTCCTGTGCAGCCTGTGGCCCCAAAGGTGTCCCAAATATGCAGGTCTGTCCCCCAGGGGCCTTAACTGAGGAGCAGGCCAGCAGAAGAGCCAGGATGGACAGTGAGGACACCTGGTTCTCAGCCAGGGGCTGGGCAAATTCTGACCTCCACCAACCTCAGCCTCCTCATCTGTAAAATGGGGGTCTTGGTACTTATCCGCACAGTTGGAGTGATGCCGCAGTGAGATGATGCATGTGGAGGCTCTTTGTAACCCGTAAAGCATGTGCATGTTGCCACCATTGTTGTAGCTGCCATTGCGGCAATTAGGTTGTCTTCTGGAAAGGGAGGTTGTGTCTGACTCTCTGCGAATCCCTCACAGCCCCACGCAGTGCCTGGCACAGAGTGGAGGCTCCTTAAACATTTACTGAATGAACTCAAGAGCCTCAGATCTGGGACAGATGGCACCACCGGCAGGCTGCAGTGCAGGGGAGGGAGTAGCCCTTTCACTGGGAGAAGCAGCCAAGAGGGTCCAAAGAGCTGGAGAGCCCACCGGCTGGGTGATGCTGGCCTGTCAGGGAGGTTCTGCTCTCCTTGACCGTGGGCTTTGCCAGCCTGGTCTCTGGAGGGAGAGCAATCAGAGGGCTCTTGGGAAAAAAGTATTGGGTAAACAGGAAGCCCGGCATCACCGTGTAAAGAGATTAATAATGGCCCTAATTAGGGTATGATTGATTCTTTGAGGACTCCGGCTGAGCCCCAGCCTCAGCCACTGTGCGTCTTTTCCCCAAAGAGTGGGCAGGCATGGTGGTGGGATAGGGGAGTTCTGGCCCACCTGGTCTTTTTACCTCTGAGGCCTCCACCTGGCATCTCCTCCCTCAGCCTCTCTCCACTGGCAGCTGCCTCAGCTATGAAGACTTCCTTCCTGCCCTGTTGTTGTTGTTGTTGGGTGCCTTCGAGTTGATTCTGACTCATAACAACCTCATGTGACAGACTGGAACTGTCCCATACGGTTTTCTTGGCTGTAATCTTTATAGAAGCAGATCACCAGGTCTTTCTCCTACAGAGCTGCTGTGTGGGTTTGAACTGCCAACCTTTGGGTTAGCAGCTGAGTCCTTGACTGTTGCACCACCAGGGCTTCTTTTTGTCTGCCCTAGGTCCTCTGATTTCATTAGAATGTAGGGCTTTCTCTGAGGCCCAGAGAGGTGGAGCGACTTGCCCAAGGTCGCACAGTGAGATGATGGCAATCTAAATCTTTCAATTCAAACTGTCTAATGACGCAACAGAAACTGTATTAAACCTGTGAGCACTCTCTAAAAGCTGACTGTGGAAGGCTGGCATGCAGTGGAGGGCCTGAGGTTGGTTGATCCCACATTTCTCCAGGTTTTTCACAAACCCCAGGGAGTGGGAGGTCCCAGAATCAGCCCTTGTCCCCCTACATCTAGCCCCAGCCCTGGCCCCAGAGATTTGTTTTATAGGTTTGGGTTTCATTGCTTTATTTTGGGAAAAGGCCCAGCTGGTAAGCTGGTTGTGGGATGCACTAGTGCCCCTGGGCCCCAGGAGCGGGGGGAAGGTTGGCTACATACCCCACCACCGAATAGAACCTTAACTGAGACTTAACTTGCTGGCTAAGTTTTAAACTGGAGCCTGGGGATGCTCCCACCCTGGGAGAGGCCCTGCTCACTCCCTCTTCCTGATGCCCAGGGTTTGCCTCTCCTGCCCCCGACCTCGAATGCCCTTTGTAGGAGTACAAATCATTCCTTATTTCTGAATTCTGCTT